GGATAATAGGAAGAAATATGACTCCTTCTCAAGAGCTGTTCTGCAAATGGGTGAAGAAGCTGCCACCACAATAGCATGATGTTCCCATCCCCACAGTTAGTCGAAGAGTGGGAGAAAGGGAGAACAAGGTAAGAGTTCAGAGAAAAAGGGGAAGGATAAGGGTCCCCTTCACCTGTAGCAACAAAACTTTGTTTTTCACATTCATTAACAAGGATCTAGTTTGCTTGGGGATTTTTGTCCTCAAGCCCTTTCTTCTTCCTGCCATTCTTTCTAACATAATTACCCTACTTGCCTGTAGCAAACTTAAGCATTTCCATCTCCAGAGATGCTAAATTGTCCTTAGCATCTTTGCGGCTCTTAATATTTATCGCTGTTCAAATCTGACAAATGCTGGTTGATTTCATCAATCAAGCTATCACATATTGATTTGGTTATAACCAAATCTCTTCTACTTTTAAATAACTGTTATATTTAATGAATTGGAGGGTTGATAGAGCTTTGTTTTAGTAAGATAAAGGAGTAGTAGTTAATGCATAATAAATTTAATTATAGCTGATGACTAATGCCACAAAACTCGATAAAAAGTAAAAAGACTTTGTGTGCTGTCTTCTTGTCAAGTTCCTCTAATAATACACTGAATTTTTTTTGGTTACTTTTCTCATCAGGATAGTTTCCCTTTTCTGGTCTTTGTAGTTGCTTCATTAATACTTAAGTCTAATAATGGTGGTTTGTACACTGTTCTGTACATACACAAAGTTTACATCCTTCATTTAAACGGCATGAGCTTGTGCTGCCAGTTGAAGTAGAACGTTTTTATGTACTTTAAAACTGTTGATTCTGTAACTGGATAGAGTATGAAAGGAAGATGGAAGATTCCAGATGTGCAGGTCTGGATATTTTATGGATATATTTTACTATGACAGGAAGAAAATTAGTCACAGAATATTTAGTCATGATGTACTGAAGTATGCAAACTCTAAAAAGGAGGCTCTGAAACCTGTCAGTAAGACAAGACTGAGGAATTGCTAAAAACAAGTTAATGATCTTCTCTCAATAAAGAATTCAAAAGCTTGCTTGAAAGACTTCTGCCTCCATTCATCCTGTAACTGAGATGGAGACAAGTTTTGTTTAGTTTATTTTTCTTGAGTCCCAGCTTTATTTTTAGTGATACAATTAGAGAAAGAGACGGGAGTTTTCAATGAACTTGTAGTAAATCTTCCTTTGTTACTGTTTGCTTCAAGAATCACTGATACAGTTCTGGTCAGTTGTAAAATACTTATATTGTTAAAATTCATTATATGAGAAAATCAGTTACATAAGAACTGATTATGACTAATTCATCTCTCCATAATTATTTTTGGTAACGTTGAATAGTTTTACTCTGTCATCTTAATAAAAATATTTTCTTTCTCTGTAAGTTAGTTCCATAAAATGCCATTTTACCAATTTTTACATGCAACCAAAACAAAATACAGTTTGGAAATGTGACTTGTTTTTAAAATCCTTTAATTTGCTGCTTCTAGGGAAAACCATCTGTCAGTATGGAAGACTTATCAACAGTATCTCAGCTAACTAATACTATATTTTTTTCAGTGTTTGAAAATCAGGGTTTGGCTCTCCATGGTTTTTGCATGCTAATGTTTTATTGAGATAATACCTCAAAACGCTGCATCTCATTTAGAAATTGGCAAGGAAAAAAAGACTGAAAAATAGACTTTACAAAATTCTAATTAATGTAATTTAAATGTTTTTGATAGGCAGAGTAAAGAAGAAGGCAAGAAAGCAGATGTTAAGAAGATGGAGAAGAAGAGAGGTTAGTTTAGAGAGGCTAAACCGTATTTTTGGTAATTTTAAATTTTGAATAGAATTTTCTGCCTGGATAAGATGATTTTACTGCTAAGGGTGGCTGTGGGGTCTCAGTCTAAGATGTTTGCTCCATGACTGTTTCCTTCAGGTCTGACAGTACATTCTTGTTCTTCTGTGTTTTCTTTCGACAGTGCAGCAGAACAGGTCTTTATCCCATTTTACTGTCATTCGATGATCACTTCTGTTCATGAACAGGAAACAAAAGCTTTTGTTCTTCGAACTGAATTACTTCAGTTTTTCCCTTAATTCTTTCCTTTCTGTCTTCTTATAACACAGTAATCTGAGGCACCTTTTAAAAGTATTTGGACACTACCTCTTCCTCAGCAACAGGCTTGTTCTTCCTAATCAAGAGGCTTAGATTTAGATTACTATGGTCTTGTCTAGTAACCCAGACTTGCAAACTGACCTTCATAGGGATAAGTCATTCCTTTTTTTTAGTACTCCCATCTTTAAGGGCAGTCCAAGCGACTGGCTGTAATTTGTAGTACAGTACAGATCCAGTGGCATGGACTCCAACCAACCCAGTGTTTGCAGGGCTTTGGGGAAAATAATCCAAACCCTTCCAAGATGGATAGGACTTGAAGGGAACTGCTTGCAGTATTGTTCAGAATGCGTACCACTTGTGTATGGAAAGATCCAAACAGGCATTCAGCGTGTGACTTAGAGAGATATGTTCATTCATCTTGTTCATTCACCTACTGGAGCAGGTGTACAGGGAACACGTTATTTGTATGGATTTGGACTGTAACATGAATTGTGTTGAATTTACTGAAAAAATCCATGTGTCCTGTCATGAAAGGATTTCCAGCTTTGTAACTCTTAATATTTATTGAAACTTCGTTTTAACCTCATCCACAAGTAGAAGGTGATAGATGTATATTGAAATAGAAAATAATTTTCAGTTTTTAACTGCCAAGGAGAAAACTATGTAGGTTGCTAATAGCATCCAGTTTTAAAAAGCTGCGTACTTTGTGATGGTAAGCTTTGTGATGTATTTGTGTGCATCTGCATGGTTATCTGATGTAGAGTGCCTGCTCATATCTTTCTGCATGAAGTTCAGATTTGTAGGAAGGTTTCTACAAAAACAAACCTGATGTCATTGTCAAATAGTCATGCATAATATTTTTAATCTTCAGAAACATCAGTGGATTCTAGGCTTCAAAGGATACATGCAGAAATTAAGAACTCCCTGAAAATTGATAATCTTGTAAGTGTGGTTTTTTTCAAAACTGATTTATGTGTGTAATTCCAGTAGGAAATACTTGGCATGCATGCTTGTTTTTAATTAGTATCAAGACTGCGTGACTCTTGAGTGTGATGGTCAAGGTGAAGGGACCTTTCTTGAGGAAGGAATGGATAGGACTGCTAGGAGGTGTCAGGATCCGCCCAGACAACTCGGGCAAAGGTATTACTGCCAAGAGGCTGGCCAGTGTGGTTAAAGAGCTTCAAATTAGGAACAGTAGCACTGGAGGAAGTGGTAGAACAGGATGGCAGTCAAATGATGCAGGGTGATGTGAACAGAATTGGCCTTGTAATCAGCAGAATTTATCCACAGAACAGTGCTGAAGTGGCATCACCACAAGCATATGCACAGAAAGGAGGAAGTGCTGGCAGCATGGCATTATGAGGAAAGCTCGTAACCTTTCTGGAAAGTCAGAAAGAGATTTTGGCATCATTGGCATCACAGATTTGGTAGTATAGTTCCTAGGACTAGAGCCCTGCCACGTGTGTGTACAGGCTCTTTAGGAAAGACCGGTGCTGGGAATACAAGATATGAGATAACTCCTTGTGAGATAATGGTGGGAATGTGTGAGGCTCTGTACTGGGACAGATCACAAGTCAACTGAGATCTTACACGTCAGAATTCGCGGGCAGACCAATACAGGTGTCATCCCAAGGATCTACTGCAGATCACCTGATCAGGCAGAAGTAGAGAATGAAGTTATCCTAAGGCAGTTGGGAGATGTCTACAGTTCAAAAACTCCAGTGCTCATTGGAGGCTTGAACCATCCTGGTATCTGCTGGAGGAACAACATGGGGATTGTACAGCAATCCAGGAAACTTCTGAAGTGTGAAACCCCCAGAACTGCATGAAATCTGATTCAGAGTTGTAATGGAGCGAATATCTTGCAATACTGGGAAGAACCTTGGTTGTAGAGCTACAGCAAGGACACTTACTTTATCATAATTTTATCAAGTAAACATGATGAGAGTTCTGCTGAGCATAGTCCTGATAAGCTAGGGGTTTTTTTAATACTAATTACCCTTAAGAACAGGAGCTACAACTTTATACAAGATGCAGAATATTATTATGACCTGTGCTGGTGGAGATGAATCTTGTTAGTTCTAAATAGGAAGTAAAATAAGCAGGAGTAGCAGAACATAAGAAAATCAAGAAATAATTATTATGGGAAGAAGACTTCGGTACCAGTGGTTCTTAAAAATGGATCAAAAGCTCACATCGTTACTTCTTGATATCCTGCTTAATGTCATTCATCAAACTTAACAGAAAAATCTACAAAGATACAATTCTGTATATTAACTGCAGTCTACTTAAGATGCTCTGCTACCTTCTCAGGGGCAAGTCATTTGGGAAGAACTCTGCATGGGAAAGGCTGACTATGCAGAAAGTGGCATAAAGGTTGAGTTTGTATTCTGAAAGTATAGAATTATTTTAAAAAAATTGAAAGTTCCTCAACTAGCATCTGCCTTTTGTTATGAAAGTAGCTGAAAGGCAACTGACAGCAATCTTTGTAAGCTTGACTGTATAAATTGTTCTGAAATCAAGTACATGGTCAAATTAAGGATATTACAGGAAGGTATCACTGAGCATGGAAACAAATTTAGTATGGCTAATGAAGGATTATTAACATGTAAGTTAAGTCTTCCAGCTAATTTCTTGTTTTTATACAGGATGTGGACAGGTGTATTGAGGCTCTTGATGAGCTTGCATCTCTTCAAGTCACAATGCAGCAAGCTCAGAAACATACAGAGATGATTCTTACTCTAAAGAAGGTCAGATCTGCAATGTTAAAGTAATTTTGTGTGTTTTCTTAAATTCGTATCAGCATTATTTACTACTGGAGTACTGTGTGCAGTTCTGGTCCCCACAATTCAAGAAGGGTGCGGACAGACTGGAGAGGGTCCAAAGGAGGGCTGGGAAGGTGATCAAAGGCCTGGAGAACCTGCCCAATAAGGCAAGACTTGAAGGAGTTAGGCCTTTTCTTCGCAGAGAAGGCTTAGGGAAGACCTCACCACAGATCAGTCTCTGCAAGGACCCACCTGGAGAAGAGAAGGGGCAACTGGGTACAAATTACACTGAAGGAGGTTTCATCTTGATATAAAAATTTTCTTACAGTGGTAACAATTTTTTATTAGAACAAGCTCCCCAGGGATGTGGCAGAGTCGTTATCACTGGAGACGTAAGAGATGCAATTGGGTGCCTGATAATCTCATCCAGGCTCCCTTTCCCATGAACGGTTGGACCAGGTGATCTTTCAAGGTTCTGTGATTCTGAGATACTTCAGAGACTGTGAAAGTCTATGATCTCACTTCAGGCTAAATTAAGAATTTCATCTAGCACGTAATGAAATTACATAGGTATTTAAATACCTGAGTGGAGCTCATTTATTTACTACTTTGATTTCAGATACGGAAATTCAAAGATAGCCAAGTTATCATGGAGAAATCTACAATGCTGTATAATAAGTTCAAGACCATGTTTCTGGTTGGGGAAGGAGATTCTATTCTTTCCCAAGTACTGAATAAATCACTTGCTGAGCAGAAGCAGCACGAGGAAGCCAACAAAACCAAAGAACAGTGGAAGAAAGGAGCAATCAAAAAAACAGAGAAGGAAAAGGACCAAACAGGTTAAGTCGTGTTTTCAGTTTCTTGTCATATAAAAGACTTGGTCTCCATCAGCTTCAGAGCCAGCTTCAAAAGGTCCTTTATGTAGGACTTCTACCCATCTATTAAAGCCTTTACATATCTGAAATAGTCAAGCCTAATCCTGCTATAACTTAAGTTTCAAGTTCAAGGATATAATGTTTTCCGTGGCTATTTTACCTTTATTGCCTGAAGGGAAGGGCTTTTGTAAGAATTGAGTTTAGGATTGTTTTTACTTCTCTGTACATTTTCTAACTTTATTTCCTTTTGGAATAAAAAGAACAAACCATGAAGTAGAATAGCATACTACCTTCCATTCCACAAATAGCCTCTTGGTGCCTAAACTTCCACCTATGCTTTGACTGCTTATTTCCTTCACTAGCCTTTTCCTATATAATGCATGCTACTGTGTAGTAGCAGCAGCTTTTAATGACTTATGTGCTACTTCTATTATGCAACTTCAGTAGTTCAGTCTAACTGAAAAGAAATATTCGTCCTTTAGGGGAGAAAAGGCCTTTATGCTCTTAACAGTACTGTTCCAGATTAATCATGAATGCTTGTAAAAGTACAGCATGAAAGCCTTCTATAGTTCTGTAAGTAAGTACTCTGCAATAACTTAGGTCAGTTATTTGGAAAAAAAAATGCAGTAAAACAGATACTTGCATTTTTAAGTAGAGGAACATAATGAGACAGACACTTGAAAGCTGTGTTATAAATTGATGTAGATTCTTGAAGATGTAGGAGTTCCACCTATGTATTAAAATTATTTAGATCCTTTATCTCTGCAAGCACTAGAACGAAATTATATTTGCTTTGAACTTGAATGCTGGGAGCCAAGCTGTTTCAGAAAACTGAACGTTATGCCACCCAGACCTGGACTAAACAAGTTACTCTAACTGAAGTGATTGAGAATGCCAAGGATTCAGAATAACTGTAGTTAAAATGCTACTGTATTTGTAACTAAGAAGGTGAGGATGATGATAAAATCCAACCATTTTCTGGTGAGAGAACTATATACGATTGCATTAGAGGTTCCACACAGATCTTTCCCCAATCCAGTGATCAGCACAGCTAGTATTTTAACAGATAATCTAAACTGAAAGACTTCTAACACATAGTCTGACTAATGAAGCTACTCCAGATAAGGTTAACACGAGACTTCAGCAGAACATGCTGAAAGACCATATTGTTGCCTTGTCAAATGGAAAATGGTAAGAAGTTTTATCATAGCATAAAAATACACTTTTATGAAATATGGGTACAAAGAAAATGTCTGGTTCCTCATGTTCTTACTTCTGCCCTTTAAAAAACTGAACTGCTGAACTCTTACTATATTTATAAAACACAACAATTAGAGCAGTTTATACTTCAGCTAAAGTACAGCTTCAGACTACCTTCTTTGTAACAAAGGATTATAGTGTTTGTTTTTTCATTTAAATGTTCCCATTGCATTCAGCTTCAATACTGATTCTGAGCAAGTTTAAATGGATTAGCTACTAGAATGTCATCTTAAAATGATCTTGTCTGCTTTTTAGCATATTTTAACCTTTAAGTATTCAGGTGAGTACTATCTTGTATTTTTTTTTGTGGTAGCACCGTAGTTTTAATAGATGTTTCAGTTTTTTAAACCTGTAACTTCAAATAAAATGGACTGTTGGTTTTGACTTAGTGACATTCCTCAACAACTCAAAACATGCATTCATCACAGAAATTTTCCTGCATATATTCCTGCTTTGACCTCACTAAATACAGCTTCTACATAGTGCTTTTTTTTTCTGCTTGACAATTGCATGCTATAATTGAACATTCTGATTCTACTTATATATACTGTTTGTCATATTTTGTTTATATACATATTTGTTAGATTTGAGAGTAAATGAGAATCCATGGAACTGTCTTTGCCAGTTAAAAGTATTAGAAATGCCTCCAAATTGTCTGACCAGGTTAGAGTGGTAAATGGAATTTACTGGTGAAGCATATTCTCACACTGCTCAGAATATAAGTAAGCATTAGGCCTATTATCTGTAGTCTAGCAAGCACAAGAAGAACTCAGAATCTCATTAAATACATACTGTTTGTTTTCCATTATTAAAATGATGGGATGAGTGTCATTGCATGGAACTTTCATAAGTTGAAGTAGTGTCAGTTACTGCTTTTTATATTGGTTCAGCTGCTGGGTATCAAGGTGAGGAGAAAAGATTTGTAGTGTTCGAGTTGATGAAGGTAAAGAAATAATCTGGGGCTTATTTTTTTATAAAAAAGTACAGTTTTGCAGCCTGCAGTAGTTTTCTTTTCCTGCCCTTTCATTTCAAAGGTTCAAAGCATGTGAATGGAGGATCTGAAGATGCAGACACCAGCCAGTCACCACATTATGAAGAGAATGCTGAAGAAAAGAAAGATAAGCATGGAGGCTGCAAGAAGAAAAGGTTGAGTTAATAACCTTACCAAACTACAGATAGGTTCTGTTCTAGCAAAATTATGTAAATAGACCAACAGTAGGTTGAAGTTACTTAGCCACGGCAAGATACAGTTTTCTTTACAGTTTTTTCTCAACTTTAGAGAGTGATAATGGCATGCAAATCCTCTGTGAAAGTTTTGAGTGAACCTTTTGAAAGTTACTTTGCTTACTGCTATGGTTGAGACCTGATGAAAAGAAGTGTGGGATGTCCTGTTAGGAGAAGAGTGTGTGGTGAGTTAGGGCAAAGTGTCAGCTTTCTCCTGTGTTTCAGACTACATAATGCTATTCAAGTTGGAAGCGAGGCCTGAAGTAAGTCTTACAGAAACTAGTGAGACTTATTAGGATGTGTGTGAAATTGTGTATTCTAAGCAGTAGCCAAGCCCCTTGAATTAGTGTTCTGTAGTATAGTTATAGATTTGCCCAAATCCAGGTAAAATGCAGGCTACAACTTAGACCTGTGAAATTTCAGAACTCTGTACATGTTGTAGAGGTTGATGCATTTACCTTTTCCAAACCAGATGCTGTAAGAATGCTTGAATTTGTCAAGAGAAGAGTGTTTAAACCTTAGCCTTAATGAAAAATGCTGTGTTTTGTAGAGACAAAAAACAAGTTGTGAATCTTTTGTAGAATGAGTCATAATAAAGTGTAAGCAACAGTGAGAAAAAGGCCTAGACTTGTCTTTGAGCTGAACTGTTTTGCTGAAGTACCACTTTCATTTCTCTGAGCACTTCTGCACCTTGTGCTCTGGGGTTCCTTTTGTCCAGCAGGATGTGCTGAAGCAAGCTTTACTTGCATCACTATCTTCACACAGACCAGGAGAAACTGCAGTTGCCTGGCATTCTTCAGGCTGCCTGTGAAGTCAAAACTTTGCAAATGAGTGGAATATTGACCATTATTTACAGTAAGGTGAACTTAAAACAGCACAAAACAAACAAAAACCCTTAAGATGAAAATTAATTTTATATTTGCTGAGCAGTTGCCTCAGAAGTACTGGCTTCTGATTACACAACTTTCATGAGTGGCATTTGGGAGTCTTCAGTCAGTGATCCCAAGTACTTATTTGGTCTGAACAGCACCATGTTAGAGGAACACAATGAAGGCACAGACATGGGTTCCAAACACAGGTTACACAGCCTAGCACACTCCTGAAGTAGGGTGATTGGACCAGATCACAATATGGTTCTAACAGAGTGCAACACCTGAATTACTTGGAATCAACAGCAAGTCGGTTCAGTAAAAACGGAGTACACTTGGCCAAGTATTTAACAATAAATAACTGCTAAACTGGTTCATCAGTGTAGACTCTTTCATGGCCATATCCTTTCCTTGTTCCTGAAGAACCTGACAGCACTTGGGTTTTTGAGTGGCAGAGATGCAGTGTCAATCAGATCGCCTGTTGTATCTGGGGTTAAAAAAATTAAAGACTATTTGGTTGCATGTATGACACCTCAGTGGACATTAGTCAAAAGTAATTTAAGGCAGGTACTTCAGAGTTATGCAACATGCCTGGAAAAGGCTATTGAATATAAAGAGTGTCTCAAAAAAGCAACTAAAAAGCAGCTTTGAGGCAAGACAATTTATATTTTTAAGACTTCAGTAACTGATTGTATCTGTACAATACATCTTCCATGCATGAGCTAATGGAGTCTCGTGTTCTACTACTAAACATTTATCTCTTTAAGTGTGCATGGTGTTTGCTATGGTCTTGAACTCAGCACTGCATCACGTTTTTTGACTTACCTAAACAAACTTATGTCACAAGAAAACTTGTATGGCTACTTGGGAGCAGTTTCTGTGGACTTACTGTTTGCTAACAGCTATAAACCTGATTGTGTAACACCTCTTCCTAATGCCTTCCATGTTGAGAAGTGCATCCATGTACCTCTTCCGAATTTAAGCAAATTACAGACTGGTGTCTTGCCATCATACAGACTTCATTATTTTTCATATGTTTTTATTTACAATATTCAGGTTTTAGAAGTGAGAAACTAATAAGCAAATTAAATATGAACAAATTGCTTCTCACTACTGCCTCTAAGCAAATAATTTGTAAACTCAAATCACAGGGCTGTCTTACTTAGTTCTGAACTTTACTCCCTTTAATAATTAAAGGCAAAACATGTCCATACCTTTCTGAAGATACATTTCACAAATTTTGCGAGACATGAGTTACGCAACTTAAATGCCAATCACTTCTGAAATATCAAGAACATCCTTCTTTTCTTGTTTTATAAAAACATGTACTGCTTCCGGAGGTCACCATAGTGTTTGGGACACACAGTGAATTGATTATTCCTGGCTACTGATAAAAGTTACAGTTGGTAAGCTTTGTTAAGCTAGAGTGCTTTTCCACCTGAGCTGACATGCATTTGGCAGCAGACCACCAAGGACCACCTGAATGGCTGCTGCTCACAGCTGATTACATGTGAATGTGATGCTCAAAGACGGCTGGCTGTTACCTGCTTCATTCAGTTCTTCCGGCTTCAGCTGCTGCTGAATGCACATCAGCGTCACTGACTAGACTGCAAATTCATCTGAGGTAAGTCTTGCTCTTCATATTTCTGGATGGTCATTAATGTTGCTTTATTTTGTTTCTAGGATGTGGTGAAGAGCTTGAAAAGCCAGCAAATGATTCTGCCTTTGAAAGCAATTAACTCCACTGAAAAGTTTTAAATTATTTTATAAGCGTTTTATTTAAAACTTACATTTTTGTGGAATAAAAGCCCCCATTAATATTGGTTTAAAAGTATTTAAACACTTTTGCCAAAAGTTTTGTCCAGTATTAACAGGTAACACATTTCAAAAGATGAAAATTCCAGTTAGGAAACAAATGCTTACATGTTAGAGGACTTAGGGTTGTACATTTTTATCCGACTACTGTATGTTTAGCTAATAGCAGGAAGAAGTGTCCTGGTTTGAGCTAAATAGAAACTATTTTTCTGTTTAGTGATTTAACTTCTCAGCTAAGTCTCTTTTAAGTGGCTGAACCTGGTGAAACTACCAGGATATTTTTCCTAGACAGTGTGTACTGATAATGTTCAAGGCCAGTTGTCTCACCATGGGTGCCGTGTCTGCACCTACGGGGTGGGGAGGGGGGGAAGTGGACCCAAAACTGACCAACGAGGTATTCCATTCCACATACATCATACTTTGTATAAAAGTCAAGGGATCATGAGGGTCTCAACCATTCTTCCATCTTGGAGCCCTTCCATCTCGACCCTTCTGTCCGTCTCGATCCTGCAAAGGTTGAGGCCTGAGCAGAACCCTGCTGGTTCACCTGCCGCTGATCCTGATTTGTGTGTCCTGCATCCTGCTCCCACCTGCTGCTGAGGAGTTTGGTCTGGGACTTTTCCAGTGCCCGGCTCTGCAGAGCCTCTGGTGACATAATCGTCATCGGGGGAGGATTTTATATTGGTTTTATATATATTTGCACGTATCTGTATATATTTCATTATTTTCCTATTTACATTATTATCCTGTTGTATTAGTGTTTTATTAAACCTGTTAGTTTTATTTTTCCAACCATAAAGTCTCTCTCCCTTATTCTCTTTTCCCTTCTGGAGAGAGGGGTTAATAGTGTCTGTCCAGGATTTAGTGGGGAGCCCAGCCCTAAACCACAACAAGTGTAAATACTTAATAACTGCCTAATTGTTTCATTTGTATAAAACCTACCCTCTTCCTATGGTACTGACCTCTGTTCATGGTTTTACAGCCCTTGTTGGGATATCTTCTCACTGTTCTGTAGGAGCTGGAAGCCACGGGTTTATAGCTGTTAAAACGTTACTGTATACTTAATCACTTGTTTAAACAACTTTATTTCTGGTCATGCAAAACTCATTGTGCCAATTTAACTGCAATGTGACCTTATAGTATGCTTTTGATACAGTAAGTATACTAGAAAGAACTCAGGTGTTTTCACTGACCCTGTTGATACACACTGTTCGGAAAACAGTCTTGAACGCTTTATGAAAATAAAGATTTTTTGAAATTATAAAGAGAGACTGGTTCTTAATACTAACTTGTGTAGACTAAAACTTTTATTAGGACAAGAAGTGTCTGGTTTTAGTAGTATTTAGATTTTATTGCCCTGGCATTAACTTGGGGATTTCCATCTTGAATTTGACAGAGGCTAGCCAGGTTAATAGTCCTAGGAATCGTGTTAGAGGGCTATGAGGGAAGATGACAGTGTTCCAGGTGTATTTATCACCTTGTGTCCTGTCACCTTCAAGCAGCAACAGAAAAACCTGGTTACAGCCTGGTGGAGACCAGTATTTCTCAAGTGTTAACTCACCATTCAACAAGGAAGAGTTTTCAATATTCCAGCATGATCAAAACAGCATGGTATCAAATAATGAGAAGTCAGATTATTTCTTGTTTACATGCCTTGTAAACTGCTGCCATGGCTGCTTCAGTCAGCCCACCTGGGGTTTTTGTTGTTGTTCTGTTCTCTTACCCAGGGTGGTATGAAGAAAAGGAATTTCTGCTTATGTGTGAAACAAGGCATAGGTACAATCTTTACTTTTTGCTTGTTGCTCTGCTTTTACAATAATGCTAAGATATTCAAGTAATAGGAAAACGCAACTTCAATACATCATGACCAGGTGAAGGTCAGTAACTTCAGCACTGCTTTCAAGCTTCACTGTTTTCCAGAATTTGAAAGTGACAGATTTAGCTTGAGCATAATGCATTGTTTCACTGAAATCATGCATTACTATGAAGTTAACTTCTGCTTATTCTCCATCTCCTAATTCTGAAGATATTTCTTTTTTTTTCCTTCACACAGCCTTTTTGCGGCTTGTTTGGGGTTTTTTTCTGTTCTTTCTAATGGACTAGAGTAGTAAACTGCATAATAGTTTTAGGATTGTAGCCCTAACATTCCCTTCTCTCCATTTGCAGGGTTTAAGTAACAAAAAAAATCCCTGCTAGTGACCAGAGGCAGAGAAAAAAAGCATGAAAAGCCTGAAATCA